TTTTTTTTTTTTAATGTGGTTCATTGGCACAATTTTTTATCTTTGGCAACTTCAAAATGAGTTATAACAGAACCTAAAGTATAATATGAAAAAACATCTAAAATGCTTCCAAGCTTAATGCAATATAGCTTGAAAGCAGAAGACAAGGTACTAAAGTATCTTTAGAGCAAAGCTTAAATGCAGAATGATGAAACTACTATTTATTTTCCCATTCTAAATATACCTACTGTAATTATATTTAGAGAGTAACCTGATAAAAGCCTGATCTTCAACAACTATTGAAAACTTATTATTGTACCATTTTCTCAGTATTTCTTACATATTACTTAACATTTAGAAAGCAATGAACTTACATGTTGGTCTTTCAACTCCCCCTGACATCCATAACAAAATCTGAAAAAGAGAGTTTAAGAATCAATTTCTTTCTTCCTTCCTTCCTTTTTTTTTTTTTAAGAATTCACTCATTAAAGTAATTCAGCAAAGTCTCAATAATTAGAATCTTTTAATAAGTAATGAAAAATCAACAGTATTTAAAATCTCACAGTATGTTCCAAGGTCATTAGATAGCCTAAAATTTTGTTTTTTATTAAAGTTAAATATATGCACATGCTTTTTTAATATTTGAAATATATGCACTACTTTTTAAAAAAATATTTGTTTTATAGTTTTAGGTGGACACAATATCTTTATTTTACATTTATATGGTGCTGAGGATCAAACCCAGTGCCCTAAGCATGCTAGGCGAGCACTCTACCACTGAACCAAAACCCCAGCTCTCTCCATATGCTTTTTGAACTAGGATTCTGTGAAAGAATTAAGCTTCTCAAAATAAAATAAGAAAGAAAGAAAGAAAAAACTTGAATGAAATTATGTCATTTGTAGAAAAATGGATGGAACCTGAGAGCATTAAGTGAAATAAGCCAAACTCAGAAAATCAAGGGCCTTATGTTTTCTCTCATATGTAGAAGAAAAAATTTTAAAAAAATTAAAAAAGAAAAAAGAAAGAAAGAAAGAAAAGGAAAGGAAAGGAAAAGAAAAGGTATGCAGGAGGATCACATGTAAACAAAAGGGAGACCAGAGAAGGGAGGAGGTAAAAGAAAGAGGGGCTACTAGGGAATGATATCAACCTAATTATACCGTCATATTTGTGCATGATATGTAACAACAAATCCCACTATTATGTATAATCATAATGCACCAATAAGAAATACAGAAAAAATAAAAAGGGCTGGAGATGTAGCTTAGTGATAGTTCTCTTGCCTAGTATGTACAAGGCCATGAGATCAATCCCCAATACCATATACACATACAAAGACATAAATATGCTTATATAAAATGAAATGACTTCCAAATGTTTTTTTACATGTAAAAGCAAGGAGTTGGATGGACACATAATTTTCTGCTAGTCAGTAGTTTTTAAATCTTGGAATTTTTACTTTTATGTGTGTGTGTGTGTGTGTGTGTGTGTTACTCGAGATTGAACCCAGAGGCCTTCTATTATTGAGCTACACCGCAGCCTTTCTTCTGAAACAGGGTCTCATTACATTACTGAGCTACACCGCAGCCTTTCTTCTGAAACAGGGTCTCATTACATTACTATAAATTTAATTTACAATTAAAATTGCCTCAAATTTGCAATCCTCCTGCCTCAACTGACCAAGTTGAGATTACAGACATGTGCCTTCACACTTGTCCTGGATGGTCTTAAAAGTAAACCTTCACTTCTCTTTTTTTTTTGGTACCACGGATTGAATTCAGAGGTGCTTAACCACTAACCCACATCCCCAGTCCTTTTTGAGACGGCATCTCACTAAGTCGCTTTGGGCCTTACTAAGTTGCTGAGACTAATTATGAACTTGCAATCCTCCTGCCTCGGCCTCCTGAGTTGATAAGATTATAGGCATGCACCACCATGCCCAGTTTACTTTGTAAAACTGTTCAATAACAGACCACCTTTACTTCAGGCTTTACTAGTAAGATTTCATAGAAATATCACTAATGAAAATACTTACAGGTTCCAGATTAATTATGTTCTGCCAACCTCTTACTTTCATTAGTGTGCTAGAGTTCAAGATAGTCAACTATTAAGTAATCAGAAATTTTGAAAGTTAAACTGTTAAACTGTTGTAGTTAAAAACTGGACATGATGAGAACATTTTACTAAAAAAACATGCTTTTTCTTTTTAAAGAACTGATTTACCAATATATCATTCTTATTACAATTGAGGTCAGAGAAATTAATAGATTTCTGAAGATTCAGATCTATTCAATAGTTAGTCAGTCATAAGGCTACATCTCATTTTCTATTTTAGAAGTAATCTTACTCAGATTAATATGACTGTCTTTTTAAAAGTAGTAATATTCTATAGACTAATTTACTCAGTACTTGTAACAGATAATAAGTTAATTAAAACTCATATACCTTTCTCCTTTAAATTCTTCCAGGGGAATTTCTTGAAAAGCATCCAAAGGAAATAAATGATGGTAAGACCGAGCCAAATGGGGAGCAGAAACCAAAGTAAGACCTAACACATAAAACAAAGACATGTTTAATAACCCAAACCTCATGAAGATAATGGCTAAAAAGCCAAATGTCACTAAGTATGTGACCTCTGTTGGCCTATCTGCTTACTCATAAATAAAATAAAATTCTATAATTCTGTTACTTTAATTCCTTATTCTACATACAAATATAAATTATATGTACATTATATGATATATATGTATGATATGTAT